TCAGTCGTCGAGCCTAAGCTGGAAAAAAGGAGAAAGGCACTGAGTTAGGGCTTCGTGACAGAAAATGAAATATGGACGAGATGGCCAGTAAAAGAGGGACGCAGCTACCGACCTTCTTGAATCTGTTATGACACCGGGCTCAGAGAGGTGGAAGAGTTCGGTAGATTCGGCGCAAGTCACACGTAAGTCACCCTGCCTGTGGGCACATGCCTGTGGAGCACACGATGAACACTGTCGGCGAGGACGGTCGAAATGTCTTCTCAAGCGTTTGTGGGTCCCCACAAAACGGGTCACACTGCTGTTGCGTTGGACCAAAAAAGGGGGGACCACATCGATTCAAGTCATGCGTTGGTCAGGTTGTGCTAAGCCTCTAATTACTGGTGTGCCTTAAACGGAGACAGACGACACGCCAGCCAATGCGCCAAATCTCATAATCAGTCGGCCGAAAGGCCAGGGTAGTTGGCCGGTAACTCTGACACACTATCACTTGTGGTTTGGAAGGTGGTCAACTGATAGGACAATCCTTCCCTGTCGAGGAAATACGGCCAGACCGCACTGTCTCCTGCTTCGTGTGGCGTCCATGGCCTTCTCATCGACGTGATATCCGGGACCCCCAAAATAATGCCAGGCGCACGCAGCGTTAATGACCAGGTCGTGTGTAGCAGGCGAAGACGGGATATTTGGCATTAAGAGCCACTGATTCCTTATCCATGTCCAGTCGCCTTGACTTTGTCATGTCCTGAGAAAGCGGTTTGTGCGTAGAAACAGAGAGCAAGATATATGCAGCAAAAATCCGGTTCGCTATAAACGCACAATTTACGACTTTGTCCACTTCGTAGGACTGAGGTGGACCTCGCGAGATGCTCGCGACGGCTGAACTCAGCACGCTGCTCCTGACCAAAGCGAGCGAAATGTCCCCCTGTAGGCCCCCCTCCGAGAGAGTTGGATTCGCTGGTTTCTCAATTCAACAGCACATCCGTCCACGTCGCCCACAGAGCAACCAACGGGGCGTTATCGCTAGGGCGGTCAAATGAATAAATTAAGCTTCAGCGGAGAAAAGAGTAAATTTTCTAAGGAGCCAGGCATCCAAGGTTTTCATAGCAGGAGCGACAGGTGGGGGGAGGCAATACGGCAAGAAAATAGGCCCCTAAACGGCTAAGATATTCGGAAGCCGCGCTGTGAAAGTTTCCCAGCAGAAAAATTCACGCATTTGACGACACCGAGAGTAGCGCCTTAGACATGGCACCTAAAACGCACTCACAGCAATGAACTGTCAACATTGAGTGGAGGCAGCCCGGTGGACAATTTTACCGATGATGGCGAGTAAACAATTCATCTCCGTAAGATTATATCTTGACAAGTAAAATAATGGTATTCGGACAATGGTCCGCCGACCGTCTAAAAATTTCAATAAAACGTGGAGCACTAAACAAAGGCTGCGCTGAGAGCCTTTCCTACCTGGGGTCGCGCCGGCGTGGTCACCTGCTTTTCTATCATGGAAACGAATCGGGTGGAGCATGGATGCGAACTAGTCCTTAACCCTCATTAGTGTAACGTTTTATAGCACATCGCTGTGGTTCGTGGACTCTGTAGGCGCCAAGTCACACCAGAGCACATCTCTACTGCAGGGTCTATAACTACGCGTCCACGAATGTACATATTTTGCAGACAGCCTGCACTGAAATGCAGCAGAGGTGATCTTACCTTAGTTTACAAGTTAACGCATGGCCTTGAGCAAGGATTGTGTTTTACCGACATGTTTCAGTGGCACCTCTCACCTCATCTCTCTGGGCACGCAATGAAACTGCGTGCGAAAATGACCAGGCTTAATCTCCGCTCTGAGTTCTTCATGCAATGTATAACAGAACACTGGAGTGATCCCCCACAATCCGTCGTGGAGGCAACGTTCAGGAGGCGCTGGGATAATTATATGTTGCCCCTCGACACTCTGAACATAGTCAACTTCAGACAAAAGTTATTTTTAAAACAAAACAACGCTACTTACAATTTGTGAGTAATGTTGTGATTGCAATAATTGTTAAGAGTGTCAGTACGAAAGTATATGCCGTACCAGCCAGTAAACAATAGGGATTTCAAAGGCATTGCCTATTACCCTTACCAAATAAACAAAACTGGACACACCACGCAGGTAGGTCAGATGGCTACGCGCGTGTACGCAATTTTATAGGCTCTGTCATGACAAAAACAGTCTACCACAAAAAATACAGGCAGCCTCAACTACGAAAGGCACGCAAAGCAAGGGATGCTCATGTAAACCCGGTCAAAACTTCAAACGGTCATTATGGCAAACAACCC